TAACAGGGAAGAGGCGAGGGAGGGCATGGCTTTTTTTGATAACAGCGAACATGTGAGGGTGGGTATGGCTCTTATAACAGGGAACAGGTGAGGGTGGGCATGGCTCTTCTGATAACAGGGAAGAGGCGAGGGTGGGCGTGGCTCTTCTGATAACAGGGAAAAGGCGAGGGTGGGCGTGGCTCTTCTGATAACAGGGAAGAGGCGAGGGCGAGCATGGCTCTTTTGATAACAGGGAACAGGCGAGGGTGGGTATGGCTCTTTTGATAACAGGGAACAGGTGAGGGTGGGTATGGCTCTTATAACAGGGAACGGGTGAGGGTGGGCGTGGCTCTTGTAACAGTGAACAGGTAAGAGTGGGCGTGGCTGTTCTAAGTGGGAACAGGCTAGGGTTGGCTTGGCTCTTCTTATAACAGGGGAGCCGGTGAGAGTAGACATGGCTGTTCTGATTCAATTCAGTTCAGTTTATTTATATAGCCCAAGTCACAACAGAACTCATCTCAGAGAACTGAACAGAAACTTTCACATATATGTAAGTTAACAACATTCATTATCTGAGGAGCAGACTGCTTTGAGTGTAACTTCATCGCAGAACTCTCATCTTGAGCAAGCACGAAGACGACAGTGGAAAGGAAAAACTCCATCATGAGGAAGAAACCTCCAGCAGAACCAGGCTCAGGACAAGTGGCCGTCTGTTTCAATGAGAGTGAACAAATCAACATAAAGAAATACAAAAAATAAGCTAGAGAAATAAATCTCAAAACATGCATATTTGTATTTGGGATGTTGTTCAGAACCAAACATCAGTGCACAAACACAACTCCTTCCTGACAGTTGAACCAGTTCTGGCCCGGTTCCGCGTGGGTTTCGTGCGGCTCACTGTATCCGATGGGCACCAAGTCACTGTAATAAACACCAAACTTTTTCAGATCAGATCAAAACTTTCCCTCTAGTATTTCAACAGAAGGCAACAGGGCTTCTGGGCTGGGCACTGTTGGCTTCTGAGAAATGTAGTCTATATGAGTGGGGATACAGTATAGGCTTATTGAGAGAAAACTACAAAATGGCGGCGTTTGTCCAAAGTATTTTATTTTTTCGTTAATTATTTACTGTTCAGTATCCCGTACTGCTCCAATCACGTCAGCAATGTGAAAGTTGACAATCATGTGTCCTGTACAATTTTTTTTCCTCGTGTTCAATCTTACTTTGAAAAATTGCGAAAGAGCGAGTCCGTGAAAGTCGAACCGCAAAGTAGTGAAAAAACTACTGTATATGTTCCACCAGGCATATACACACACAAACACACACATATATATATATACAGACCCTTTCCAAAAAATTAGAATATCATGGAAAAATTGTTTAACTTCCATAATTCCATTCAAAAAGTTAATCTTTAATAGATGATAGATTCAGGGCCCACAATTTAAACAGTTTCAAGTATTTATTTGTTTATTTTTACATAATTTGGGCTTCCAGCTCATGAAACCCATAAAAACACGATTTTAAAAAATTAGAATACTGTGGAGACATTAGCTCACTGTTCTCAGTTTTTGCAGAAAAAAAATGAAATAAATTAGTATCACAACAAATCAATTAAAATATGTTTCTTTCAAAACGATGTGTCAGTTTCCATACTTCAATACTTGGTTGGGACTCCCTTTGCCTTAATTACTGCCTGGATGTGACGTGGCATTGAGGCAATCGGTCTGTGGCATTGACTGGGAGTTATGGAAGCCCAGATTTCCTTGATGCTTGCTGTCAGCTCTTCTTTGTTGTTGGGTCTGGTGTTCCTCATTTTCCTCTTGAGAATACTCCATAGATTATCAATGGGGTTTAGGTCTGGCGGGTTGGCTGGTCAGTCAAGCACTGTGGCATGGGCATCAAACCAGGTTTTGGTGCTTCTGGCGGCATGGGCAGGGGCCAGGTCCTGCTGGAAGATGAAATCTGCATCTCCATACAGATCCTCAGCAGAAGGAATCATGAAGTCCTCTAAAACATTCTGGCAGACTGTTGTGGTGACCTTGGATTTAAGAAAGCAGAGTTTACCAACACCTGCACCGGACATTGCACCCCGAATCATGACTGACAGTGAATATTTCCCACTGGACCTCAATCAGTATGGGTTCTGTTCCTCACCCTTCTTCCTCCAAACCCTTGGACCTTGATTTCCAAATGAAAGACACACTTCACTTTCATCGGAAAAGAAGACCGAGGAAACCGACTGTTGTAGCCCATTTCCTGGATGTGTCTGAATGTGGTGGCTTTTGAAGTTGTGACTCCCGCCTCATTCCACCCTTTCTGGATCTCTGCCAGATTCTGGAATCTTCTCTGTTTGATAATCCACTGAAGCCCACGGTCATCTCTTTTGCTGGTGCATCTTCTCCTGCCACATTTTGCTCTTCCACTAGACTTTCCATTGATATGCTTGAACACAGCACTCTGTGAACAGCCAGCCTCCTTAGCTATGAACTTTTGTGGCTTACCCATCCTATGGAGGGTATCAGTAATGGTCTTCTGGCCAGTTGTTATGTCTGCAGACTTCTCCATATTGAACCGAACTGAGACAATTGAAACAAACTGAAGCAATTTAATGACACCTGGGGAAACTTGTGCAGGTTCTTTGAGTTTAGTAAATGATTAGTGTGTCACGCTGAGTTTAAAACATTCATGCCCTGCAACATTTGGGCTGATTTCACAATATTCAAATTTTTTTAATCCTGTTTTCATGTGTGTGTGTGTGGGGGGGGGGGGGGGGGGGGGGGGGGGCATGGTGGCACAACTGGCAGAGCCGCTGCCTCTCAGCGAGCAGGTCCCTGGTTCAAATCGCGGTCCAGGGACCTTTCTGGGTGGAGTTTGCATGTCCTCTCCGTGCATGCGTGGGTTTTCTCAGGGTACTCCGGTTTCCTCCCACAGACCAAAAACATGCATGTTAGGCTGATTGGTAACTCTAAATTGTCCCTAGGTGTGAGTGAGAGAGTGAATGGTTGTTTGTCTCGTTTGTCTTTATGGGTCCCTGTGATGGAGTGGAGATCTATCCAGGGTGTACCCCGCCCCTCACACCATGATTGCCGGACATGGGCACCAACGACCCCCATGACCCAAAATGGAAGAAGCAGGTAAAAGATAATGGATGGATGGATGTTTTCGTGGGTTTCATGAGCTGGAAGCCCAAATTATGAAACTGAGTTTGTCAAGTCCTATAAATATTTGGGTATCTTGATCGACTCACATCTCTCTTTTAAGCTTCACTTGGAATACGTAGTAAGGAAACTGAAAGTTAAACTGGGTTTCTTTTCTAACTCTGAACGCTAGGAAACACCTTGTAACTGAGACTTTCCTTCCCTCCATTGACTACAGTGACATTATTTACATGAACGCTCCTACAAGCACCCTGCAGATGTTGGATGCTGTCTATCATGGTGCACTAACCAGCTGTAACTACCGTACCCACCACTGTATTCACTGGTTAACTGGTCATCATTAACTTCACACAGACTCTTCCATTGGTACATTTTCATCTTTAAATCACTTCTTTGTCTGCTGCCTTCATACATCTCCTCCTACATGTCTCTGCGTGAGTGCAGCTACAGCGTACGCTCTCAGGACATTATTACCTGCAGTGTTCCCTCAGTGCGGACTGAACTAGACAAAAGGACCTTCTCCTACTCCGTTCCTGTTTCCTGGAATATCTTACAAAAATATCTGAAGTTCTCATCCTTGACCTCTCTAAGTGACTTTAAAACCCTGTTAAGTACCTGGCAAAAGCCAATGCAGACAAGTTCCTGTTTTTAGTTTTCTAAATTGCTTTGTCATCTTAACTGTTTTTTGCCGCTATTCCTCTTGATTGTCCTTTTGGTTGCTTTCTTTTTATTTATTTTTTTTGATTTGTTGAAAAAAAAAAAACGAGAAACTTAAATTTGTAAGCCTGTTTTACGATTGCCTATTGTTGTTGTTATCATTGTTATCCATTGTTATCATTGTTGTCCATTGCTGTTATCACGTTATGTTAAGAAATCAGGTCTCTCTTGTAAATGAGTCCTCGAGGCTCAATGGGATTAACCTGTCTAAATAAAGGTTGAATGAATGTAGAAATAAGCAAATAAATATTTGAAATCATTTAAATTGTGGGTCCTGGATCTATCATCTACTAAAGATAAATTTTTTGAATGGATTATGGAAGTTAAACAACTTTTCCATGATATTCTAATTTTTGGAAAGTGTCATATTGTATATATATATATATACACAAATGTGTGGGTGTGTTTGTGGGCGGGTTGGTGTGTGTGCGTTTGTGTGTGAGTGTTCTTCCATGGTTTTAACTAGAAGCCTTCAAGCTTCTAACCTTCACTTCCTGTACACATAACATACCGTAACCTTCACTTCCTGTACACAAAGCACACAGTAACCTTCACTTCCTGTACAC